ACGAGTTCCCTGCCTCTCTCGCCAAAGAGCGGGCTGTGGTCATGAAAGCCAAAGCCTTCCTTATGACACCAGTGCTGCAGTCTTTGGTTGACCACGTGGATCCTCCTCTCCCTCCTCAGCCCATAGCCTGAGACTGGGAGGATCGACGAGAACTCCACCTGTGCCCCCAGACCCTTTAGCCCTGCTCCCAAATCCCTGTAGCGCCTCATGACCCGGCTGGGAGCGCTCCAAGCCGTGTCATTGGTGCCCACACGAATAAGAAGCGGGGGATAGTGGTCTGTGGGTTGGAGGAGCTTTGGGCTCCTCTCCGCAATGTCCCGGATGCTTGGGGAGAGCAGGGGCAGGAGCTGCAGTTGGGCCCATGTTACCTGTGGGAGTCGGCAACTCAGCAGGCTCTGCTGGAGCAGCAAGAGGTACGTACCTGTTGCTCAGCTCTGGCGGGGCAGGGGCCTTGGGGCGGGGGGCCCTAGGGGCCCCTGGCTGGACAGAGCGGGAGGTCCCCGAGTCCTCCTTTGGCCTGGAGGGAGACTGTGGTCTACCCTCCGCCTCCCGGAGGGATTCGAATCGCTGTCCCGATTCAATTCAGCCAATTCAGATCTGAAGGTTTGGCGCCGATTCAGAGATTCAGCCATAAACTAAACAGGCAGCAGCCTTCACCACGCTGGACACAGATGCCTCCAGCTGGTAAGTCTGTTGTGGTGGACGGAGGGGGGAGGGAAGGGGGGGTAGATCAATGCCCCCACAACAAGGAAGGGATTGGGGCTGGGACAAGCTTACCATCTGGGGCAGGGGGGCGCAGGACTCAGGGAGGGGGCCTCTTGCCACTGCGCGCCTCTGGCCCAGGAGGGCAGGGGAGTGGGCATGGGCCTCCAGATCTGCACGGGGCATGCTTTGTGCTGCATCTTTGCACGGACATCAGTTTTCTTTAAGGTGGGAGAGTGTGGGCAGGCCAGAGCTTCCTACGCTCTTCAGACAACCTGGGCAGGCATGCTGGAGGTGTCAGGGCCCGATCGTGCATGCACCAAGAATTCACGTTTTCTGGGCATGCACAATTTGGGTTCTTGAATCCCCAGAAGCACCTGTCCAGGTTCTCTCATTTGCAGAAGTGCATCCCAAATTGGTTTCTCCAGGCATGCACCTCACCTAAAGGGGGGGACCCCAGGTTTTTCCATTTGCAGAGCTGCATGCCCAGGGAATCCAACTCAGGGCACATCACTGAAAATGAGGAAACGCAGGGTTTCCTAAGATTTGGTCCCCCAGGATTCAGCTCAGATACTCCTGGGAATGGCAGACAACAAGTGACATGCATTTCACCCAATGAAGTGGATCAGACAGCAAGGCCAGATCTAGCCATAGGCAGAGGGAGAAAATATTATTTGAGGGGGCTGAGTACATGCACACGCACACCTCCCAGCAGGTAAGTCTGTGAAAGGGAAGGAGTG